TTTTTTTTTTTTTTTTTTTTTTTTTTTCCAATAGGTGCAAATGAATAGCGTCTCATAATGCGGTTATTAAAAAAAGTCTCTCCGCTGAAGTGTCATCAAAGCCGTTGAGCATTGTCTGTCCCTTTCCTGTTGTTACCTGTAAAATTGCTTAAATCATGCTTATCATATTTGCGTGTCTTTTTCCTTGATATTTTGGATGACTCGTTATTTGTTAAAAGATAATTCTGCTAAGAGAGGGGTGTGGTTTTAAGGGGGGAAGTGAGCAGTTCAGCGTGAGTACAGGTTTACGCACGTACACACGTGCACAAGTTAGAGGCCTCGTGCCCTCACCCACACATACACACACGAGTTGCTCTTTCTACAGTGACGCCGTGCATGTAGAATGTATGTTGCGATGTGGAAGACTAAACGGTGATTTTTTCGCGTTTAGATCCGCATCGCAAGGTGTGTAATATAATGCTCGCAAAAGGCAAGTCACACGGGAAGTCATTACATATATGTATATATAAGCATGCATGTACAAATGAAGCACAACAAACGTCGGCGCAACGAGACAATCTCTTCTAATCTTTTCGTACGTTCAATTTGGTTTTAGAATCTACATCGGAGCTAACATAGTACAGAATAGCCAAATAAAATATAATCATTCTCATTCTCAATTTTTTTTTTTTTTTTTTTTTTTTTTTTCTCTTTGAGCCGCTGTTTCTGTTCTTGGTCATTTATTAAAATGTTTTGTACATTGTCGCGTTATTCTGATAGGAATCATCGCACAGTTTATCTGAGGATTGCTCATTAAAACGGAAAAGGCGAAAAACGTTTTTCGTGGCGTGCAAAACCCTCTACACACATGTGCGCATAATGTACTTCAAAACACCTGCATATGTAAGGCGGAAAAACGCGTCATTTGTGATTTGTTTTCCACAAATTTCAGACGGACATTTTTTTGGCGTATTCAACGCGAATGTTTAAATCGTTGTCGGCAACAGTGCGCTTTGCGCGGGTATGCTCATGTGTACACTTCCTCCATGCACAAATCTGCATGAAGAGTTTTAAAGGTAAAACAGTTTGGCCGTAGGACGCGGGAATTTCTTCACGCAAAGAGGAAGGTTTATACACGTATTCGTACGAATGGGTATACGCAAATTGGCGTGTTCGTCTTGGTACATGGTACGCGTTCGCATACAATCATACAAACTTATATTTATATGTTTGCATGTTTAAGTGTGCGCATATAGACATCCCCAATCCACGATGCGAAAAAAAAAAAAAAAAAATAATAATAAAACGGAAGGGGGAGGGTTCCCCGCTGGCGACTTTTACATGAATGTCTGTTTTTAAAAAAAGTGACAGTTCACCCAAATGAACAAAGAAAAAAAAAAAAGGGGGGGTTGTCCATTTTTTGCGCTAATTTTGCAAGGCAAGGAGATGTAAAAAATGGACACTCGAGGGGGGTACGCGGTAGCAGACTAGGCACTATGCACAGCCTTCAAAACACTAATGACAAACTGAATCGCGCGTGTATGAAAAAACAAAAAAAATAATAATAAAAAAAAGGCTAACCAATAATCAGCGCCATGATTATTTTTTCCTCCACTGAAATAATTTTTTTGCTAACATGACCGCTCGGGTGAAGTAGTGATGTGCCTCTATCCATTCCACGATGTAATCGTAGCAGTACATGTCTCCATTATACCTGCGAGGGGGGTAAAAAAAGGGGTGGAAAATGACGTATATGCACTGCGCACAGATGGCCAATGACAGACTACATCACGCCAACGAGACAGAATAATTCTATCCTCAACATTGGACAAATGTGCGATCAGGGAGTACACAATAAGGAACCATGAAATGTGGCATATTCTCTTTTCCAAACATAAACACATGACAGTTGATCAGACACGTTCGCAGACAACTACGCAATGAGGTTTCTAATGACCATTCGGAAGTGATGACGCTATTACGTTATTAATACGCACCGATTTTTGTGCTCCCTTTTTTTTTTTCGTTTTTACCTAAAGGCGTTGCTTATTCTCACATCCTTGCTCGAGCTCAAAGCTTTGTACAGCAGAGAGTTGTATTTCTTTTTATGCACAGATGAGACGTATAGTATAACAGGCAGGGTTTTGATATTCATCAAATTGCACAACTCCTTGGCATTATCAATGTTGAAGGTGTAAAAATCGATTTTTATTTTATGGTCCGTGATTATTCTTTCAACTTCGCGGAAAACGGTAATCAGGTTGCTGCGCAAGGGGCGGGGATAAAGAAGTAAAAGGATAAGGGGGGGGAAGTAACGAGGGCTACAATGGTACACACACGTACACATGCATGCCGATGTGCACATGATTACTCGAGCACGCGCGTGTGCATCCCCCATGAGCCACATCCCAAACAGTACTTGGAGTCCGTGTCCCACTTGGCGTAGACATATAGAACCAAATCGACATCGGTCTTCAAATGCAAGAAATCCTGTAAATAATTTGCGTTTTTAATATTTGGCTTACTATCCAAAGCATACACTTTTTTTGAATCCTTTTTTTCTGTGGTTAGCATACGGTGAAATTCGTGATAACTTAACTCTTTGATTTCGCAAATGGCGCTTTTTAAAAGGGCATACAACAAAAGGAGCAAAACAAATTTCATTTTATAAAAGAGGGAAAACCAATAACACATATGTGGGCTTGCATAATTATTTGTACATGTACATATATATATATATGTGTGGGGAGCTGTTCAGATCCTATTGCGCGAGTGTTAATGGTAAATTGTGTGCTTGATAGTACTCAGTTAAACTGCAGTAAAAATAGCGTTACAGTTAAGCTTGACAATGGGAAAAAAAAAAAAATATATATATATACCTGGCAATATGGATGTATGATCTATCCATGTGGCACTATATACATAAATGAGTAGAGCAGAAAAATAAAACGCAGCCCCCCTTTTGCATCTTCAGACTAAATGGGATGCTATATATATGGGGGAAAAAAATATACAGAACTGTAAAAAAAAAAAAAAAAAAAAAAAAAAAAAAAAAAAAAAAAAAAAAAAAAAAAAAAAGCCTAACGATTTAGAAACCTGAGGTGGGAACTCCCCTACATTTTTCTGCTACGATTCATTCTACTGAAAATAAAAAATAGGGACATGCATACATATATGTGTGTGCGTAGGGGTGTAATTATGTACGCTGTCACACGAAAGAGCGTGCACACGCGCATGCACAGCGGCACGCGTTTAAACGTGCCTCCCCCCTCCCTCAGCTTTCAATGTCTCTTCGATAATTGGTAATTTTGCTTCTGTCCCTTTTGGAAGTATTTTTTCTCTTTTTGTCGCTTACGTCTGAACACTGCATAGCCAATGTAAAGGCAAAAAAGACCACGAGGCCTCCTAAGTAGTACATCAGATATTTTTTAAAATGGTCTATCAATTTGTTTAAAAATGTTTTGTTGTTTGTTCCGTGCCCAGGGGAAGCATGCATAAGTGTTGGGGGCATGCCTGAGGTGTTTTTCTGCTGATCACCATGTGGGTGATGAATGTGCCCCTGGTGTAGGGCTTCCTGAACATTAAGTTGAACGACACTTCTTAGCAGTTTCATGAAATCATTTTTAATATCATCAGGGATGTGTATATCTTCGTTTATTTTTCTGCAAAGTGGTGGGAAAAGAATCAGCGTAAAAAATGAGCATACTAGAGGAGAGAAAATCAGACAGTTGGGGGGAGGATAAACTGTGATTATGTGCACTAACTACATATATATGCCTATGTGCACACACATACACTCTTGTACATAACTTTGAATCGAGTGAAAGAAAAAAAAAAAAAAAACCTACACGTTATTGTTGTAGGGTAAAATTGGGTTCTCTCTCTTCGGTATGGAAGCGCTTAAAACTGGAATTACATTTTGCGCCACGTTGGACAGGGGCGCACTTGTAGGCTGTCTCTGTTCATTATTATTTACATTTGGCGCATTCGTTTTTGCTTCTGGGTTATTATGAGCAGACTGGTTGTTATTAGCTTCTTTACCGCTCTGTTGTTTTTCATTTGCGTTATGCGTTTTTTGGTCGTGATGTTGGTCGTGCTTATCCCCCTCGTGATGCTCTACATGCTTGTTCTTATTGCTTCCATGGGCATTTATTTCTTTTTTATGTTTGTCTTCATTTTTTTTGCTTCCCTTTTGTTGTTTCCCAATATTTGTTTTGTGTGATGCCTTCTTTCCCGTTTCTTCTTCTTCGTCGTCGTCCTCCCCTCCCCAATCCTCCTCATTTTCCTTCTCATCATCTTCGTCGTCCTCATAATTTTCGTCATCATCGAAATCTCCTTTTGTTTTTTTTTTCTTGTCTTTTTTATCTTTTCCCTCTTTGTCTTCTTTTACATTTTTTTTTTTTTTGGAATTGTTTTTGGGTTCCCCGTCTTCGTCGTCTTCTCCATCAGGTTCATCGTCGTCCCCCTCGTCTATACTATCGTCGTCGAATGCGTCATCTTTGCCATCCTTTTTACTCTTCTCCTCATTTGATGGTTTTTTTTCACCATTTGTTTCCTGCACCGCATGTTCCTCCTGTTTCCCCTTCAAATCATCTTCTCCTGTGTCGTTTTTTTTTTCCTTCTCTTTTTTGCCGTCCTTTCCTGCAGGCACTTCGCTATCACTTGCTTCCGTTTGCGACAAGAAAGAGAAGTCTAGTAATATTGGGAAAAAAAAAAATTAATAAAATGTGCATCAATGCCTTTTAATTAGTGACCTGGGTTGACTCAGACATGAAATGGCGTTTTTTTTTTTTTTTTTTTTTTTT